TCTCTCTCCCTCTCTCTCTCTCTCCCTCTCTCTCCCTCTCTCTCCCTCTCTTCTCTCTCTCTCTCTCCCTCTCTCTCTCTCTGGTATGCACAAAGTGGTTCGCCCGAGAGCGAGGCGGACGGAGGACGGTGCAACCGACGACCGCATTAATTCTTCACGAATGTTGAACTAGAAAATTGAATGTTATTTCAGCAGATAATGGGGAGCCGAGCAATAAGTGGTCGGTACGGAAAGGGTAGAGAGACGTTCGATCGCCCCTCTGCCACTGTTAAAAAAAAGAATAGGATTTTTTTTCTGGCATTCTTTTTAGATTTTACGACAGAATTTTAACCGTAGATGTAATTTGTTGTGCAAATGATACTGAACGGAAGCTGCAGCTCTGCAACTGCATTCAAAGCACCCTTGCATTTCATAGCTCTCTTGTAACATCTTCTTTCTTAGTCAACTATTGCAAATACTTGGGTAGTCTGCGGAGCATCTAATTCCTCATTCGCACTAGTAATCTTGAGGTTTCCTTTACACAAGTATAATGTAGCCCACTGCGCACAAGCATTCTTTTCAATAGCTCATTTTGATTTGTTACACACTAAACCCTTACGCATTTTTTTGTGCACAAACTTGCAGAATTTCATATCCCAAATTTGTATGCACAATTGTGTACAAAATGTGCATAATTATGCTGACACTGTACATAGTTATGCATTAATGTGTGCGTAATATTATGGCTGGCCAGTTTTATGCACAACAAAGTGCACAAGGATTTAGTGTGTATATACTGCTGCACTCGCACTGGATGATCCCCTATGGTGCGACCCCTCTCTCCTCCCTTATAACCCTATGAAGCGCGCGGGGTCGTTCTCACCCTCTCGCTACAAATAATGTAAAAGCTACGCCGGCGGCGTCCCGCCCCGCTTTAGCGTCGCCACGCCCCAGCCAGGCCCAGCCCAGCCCAGAGCCGGGCTCGCGCTCCCTGTAAGGAATCAATAGGGTCGGGCCCCGGCGGCGGCCCCGGCCCGGCGGCGGCGGCGTCTCCCAGCCGGTCTCCGGCCCCGGCTCGGCTCGGCCCGGCCCGGCCTGTGCGCCTGTGACTCCCGGGTATGCAACCCGCCCGCTCGCGTGCGGAGCGGCCGGCCTATGCCCGGATTCGCAGGCGCCCGCGCGCCCGCCCGCCTCCCGCCTGCAGTTAGTTATCGCACCGCTCGGCCAGGAAGACATCCCCCACCACGCCGTCTCCTCTGCCCTCTCCTCGGGAGAGATGATGTGCGGCGGTGTAGCTGTCGTGGGGACAAACAGGCCCAGAGTGTCTCCTTGCCAGACCCCGCGGCACCGCCAAAGGCGCCGCCGCCACCCTGCCAGCCCTGCCTGTCCGGCCCGTGCCAACCAGCCCGACAGGCTGTCAGGAGGCCGAGATGGCGGCCAGGCGCACGGCGGCGGCCCGATGGCGTGCCGCCGCGGCCCCGGGCCGGGCCGGGCCGGGCCGGCCGGGCCCCCGGGCGACGGGCCGATATCCTTCCTCACGTTGACTGCTCTGCTGGCTGAAGCCCTCCCCCCCGGAAGTGGGGCTGACACACGACGTCACCGTAGACTGAGTGTTTTGTGCACTTTGCGCGCGGGAAGCATCATAGGCGATAAACTTGGAGCCAATTTTCTGCGCGCGCAGCGTTTTTGCCGCCATAGTAATGGGGCCGTTTGTTTTGGTCTGAAAGTGACGACGTTTTAGAACACGAGCATCGCCGTGCTCCGGGGAGACAGCACTCGCCTGCACACGGTAAAATAACAAGCAGGCCCGCCCTTCCGCCAAACGGAGTTGCCAGCTCCACTTCGCTGCGCCGGCAACTCCGTTCGGCAGGGGCCGGGCCTGCTTGGCCTGCCGGCGGCGATGGTCGGGCCTTCGGCCCGACCATTTCAGTCTCGCTATTTACTGAAGTGCATCATCAAATAAATAATGTGACCGGTAAATCACTTTGCATATTTGAGTAAAAATAAAGCGTCCTGTGGGGGGCCTGCGGCCCTAGGAATTTGCTCCTTGGACATGACAAAAGACTGTAACGGGGCAACACCGTGACTACACCCCACCGTTCTGCTTTGCTTACAAAAAATTAACCCACGCAGTTTCTAGATTGTATATTGTTTGCCAAACAGTCTTAAAACTTGACTTTTTGCCATTGTTTTCAATATATCCACCTCTAAGGCCAAAACAGTGAAAGATACGGCAAATCCGAGGGTAGTTCCTGATTCAGAATGTGCTGTTTTGGGGGGGTACTTCCTCTGACATTTTACGATTGGACGCCTCCTTGTACGTCTTTGTGTGCAACGTGGTCATTTTCGCCGTATTTTCGTCGAAAAAAGCACTCTAGCGCCCAAACGGTGCAAGATAGAGTCAAACGGACAAAATTTTCGCCCAAGGGGCTCTACTTTCACGAGTTACCCCGTAGAAGACCATAAAAAAAATATTTTTTTCCTACTCTTTGGACCAACCCGTATTTCTTTGTTACCCCCTTTCATCCCCTTAGGGGTGGTTGCCAGGATTTGCACCAGGCGTTTCGTTGTCCAGGAGTGACCCCTAAGATACCCTGAAATTTGTAGACCTCTAGCTCATCTCCTTCCTCTTACACGGACGACGGACAGACAGACAGACAGACAGACAGACAGACAGACAGACACGAGAGCGGTTGCATAAGCCCGCTTTAATGCTTTTTTAAAAGCAGAAGGGCGGGCTAAAAAACGACGTCCTAGTTTTCATGACGGTTTGAAGAAACCAAGACGTCTTATGGAAGAAGTACATGTGGTCGTCTTGTTTTTTCCAAACCGACATGAAAACCATGACGTCGTTTTTGTTTTTTTTATGTACCATGCAAGGTTTCACTCCTATCATGCTCCGTGCCGCTTTATTTATCGACCCAGCCGGTCATCGCGATTCGACCGCAGTGACACGCCCCGTGCCTCTCGCTAGTACACCACGGACACACATATTTCAAACGGCGTGTCGGATGGCGACAAACGATGTGGCGTGCCTCTTGCGTTTTTTGACGGACCAATGAGGCCGGGCGGCCCGTCCGCAGTCCGCCCGGTCGGCCACCGGCCAAAAGTGTGGCCGGGCTGCCACCCCACCACGCCATGCTGCGCCAAAGTCCCGCCAAATTGTCTACCGAAACCCGACAACCGACCCGAAAAATGAAGCAGCTTTACCCAAACGACAACGATACAGAGTTTGACCGAGAACTTGGCAAGCCCTTTTGTCCTGGTGCGATGCAACCCCCCCC